TCTCAGCAAGTTCACTGAACCAACAAGTCTGGAGGACAAGATCTCAGCAAGTTCACTGAACCAACAAGTCTGGAGGACAGGATCCCAGAAAGTTCACTGAAACTGACTCAACAGCATGTGTTTCTTGTACAAGAAGAGATCAAGGTTTATTATTGTTGTTTAAGACACAGCAACAACAACAACAATAACAGCAACAACAAAAACATCTCGCACGCATGTAAACCTCTTAGTGCAGACCTCGTTTTTAGTTTTAGTTAAAGTTTTTTTTTAACGGTCCTTGCAACACAGATAGATGACACTATATTAGCTGGAGATTAGAGGTATTATGAGAGAGTAATACCATACAAAGCAAAGAGGGAGGATTGGTAATGAGGGTCATAGATGTTTGACAGGAAAGAAGAAGCAACCCACACTGTAGCACCCGCCAACCACACACGCATACCTACAAGTGTGAACATAGTTTGACTCATTCAGAAATATTTTTGAAATTCAATAAAATTCTCTAAATTATTAACATGAGCAGAATGTGATAGTGACCATGTACCAGCCATGTGCAAAATGCAGATGGGACTGAAAAAACCCCCCGTTAAAAGTCAAAGTAGCAACCCAAATTTGAAATAAGGCTTTTTAGAGACAAACCAAAAATTGAAAAATATGTTTTTTGGTAAATTGATAATAGCAATACATTTCAAGGTCTGGAAAACATTACTTAATTGGAAGAACTATGTGAAAAATAAAAGATTCAATGAAAGAAGCCGTGAAGCAATACAGGCTGCATATACTAGGAGTCAGTGAAACCCACTGGATACAATCTGGACAGAAGCAGCTCAGCTCGGGGGAACAAATACTGTGTTCTGGGAGGGAACACAAGCTGGTAGGTCCTGCTTCTTTTGTTTCCCTCTGTTTTTCCATCTGTCAGTCTTGGAATTTCTCTGCTCTATAATAAGATAATAAATGAATGAAAGGAAAGCTTTTCCTGGTTAAACATGTGTATAAAAGCTGTAAATTTAACCTCCCACCCTTCCGCCCCACCGCGCCCCCACCCCCCTTTCTGCTTCCCAGTACATACACATACCTTTACGCTCTCCGTCTGCCTCTCTCTCTCTCTCTCTCTCTCTCTCTCTCTCTCTCTCTCTCTCTCTCTTTCTTTTTCTCCTCCATTTGCACCTTCTCTCTGTCCATGTCTCTCTCGTTCACTCCCCCCCCTCTCTCTCTCTCTCTCTCTCCCTCTCTCTCTGTCCCTCCTTCTCTCTCTCTCTCTCTCCCCCTCTCTCTGTCCCTCCTTCTCTCTCTCTCTCTCTCTCCCCCTCTCTCTCTCCCTCCTTCTCTCTCTCTCTCCGCCATCTGCCATATCCTCTCTCTGTGTTTCTCCCTATCCCCCTCTCTCCCTCTCGGTCTCTCCCCATCCCCCTTCTCTCTGATCACCAACACCAACAAAGACACTGATTATTAAGTTCAAACTATTTCTCTATTAACTGTTAACAATGCCCTACACGCGCTGTGTGTTAACGGTTAAACACACACACTCACAAGCACGTACCGCATAAAGAAATTCCCGGAGAACGGTCGGAAATTATAAATAGAAACATTCTCCTCCCCCCTAAATTTTTTAAAAAAAATCTTCGTTTGTTTTATTTGTTTCAGTGAGTTAGTTTTACGGCACCTGCAACAACATTAAGTCGTATAAGTGTCTAAGATTAGAGGTAGTCTTTTTGTTTTAGTTGAGGTTTTACGGCGCTCGCAACTGCATAAGGTCGTATGAGCGCCAAGGGGAGGATGTCAACAGAGGAGTCCTTACTCCTTACACAGAATCAGACTTACTCAGCTCACCGATCTAGCTTCAACAGTACAAAGTCTGCTTCGACTATCAAGGCACCCCGGAAATAGCGGGTCACAAGAGCGTGACAAAAATACAAAAGAAGTAGAGGAAAATGACGATATTAAGGATTAGGAAAGAAAAAGCAGCAGTTCCCTGTTGAAGTTCAGGTACAGTTATGAGCATGACATTGATGAATCAGCCCATTTACAATTATAATTTTACTGTGCATAAGAACAAGGTTAATGTCCCCCCTTTGGGAATGGCCTAAGGACACCTCAGTCAGTAGCACCGCCCCC